TGCCTTCCCTTTGGTGCCATGGAGGTCGTTCTGTACAGGAGCATGGTGCTCAAGCAGACGGTGTTTTTATAACACCGCCTGGAAGCCTTTCGAGGGACAGAGCCTGTCAGTGGCCTGTAAGGTGGCGAGGAGGGTCCTGCCCCGAGTGAGGGGTCCATGGTAGGAAAGACTTCTACCTGAGCCCAGTGGCAGAGGTGGGCACAAGGTGTATTCAGCAGGCAGAAGAGGGGGAAAGAGCCTGGTGGTGCATGCCGAGGTTCAGCATGTGTCTGCTGACGGAAAGGCTTTTGTTAGGCACCATGGGCCAGCTGCAGCTCGTGGCCACTCGGTACACTGGAGGGAACGCTGCCTGGTCCCGTGCCACCCACACCATTGAGCAAACCGGGGTGTGACCATGATGGAGACATGTGGCCAGGCCTCTCTCCTTCAGAGCCGCTGCGTGGGTTTGATTTGGTGAGCAGCCGAGCACTTCTCCGTGCATGGCACCTGGCCTCCTATGTTGCACCACTACTTTCCCTTGTCTTAGGATTTAAATATGTTTTTTTTGTTTTTGAAACAAGGAGAGGAATACATAAAGGAGTAAAAGCAGAAACAGAATGCACACAAGCACACACAAGGATTTCTTGGGAAAATGAACTTTTTCCAGGAACTTTTTGAAACCCCTTTGTATAAAGTATCCACATATATTCTACCAATTCCATCCACCATCCCTCCCTCCCTCCTTTCTTCCCTCTATCCATCCATCTACCATCCATCCATCCATCTACCATCCATCCATCCATCCCTCCCTCCATTCCTCCATCCACCCTTCATCCATCTCTCCATCAACCACCCATCCATCTGACAAATCAGAAGGTTTATTCTTATAGGGACAGTATGTTAGGATTCTATGCTTGGCACAGTTCTTTGTGAAGCCCACTCTCGGCTGCTGACCCCACCCAGAAGCAGCCTGCCCTCTCACAGCCACTCATGCCTTTGCCTCGGCAGAGCCATCTTCCCACCATTCCTCCGTCTGCTCCCGGCACATCCCCGCTCCCCCAGGCACGACGATGTCTGGATTACTCCAGTGGCCCCAGGCCCCAGCTCAGGCCCTGCTGTGCCGACCTTCATGCACGAACAGGGATTTCTGTTCCATTTCCAGTTCAAAAGCATCAACCAAGGCAAGAAAACTAGTGTGGCGGACTCTATGCTCCGGATGCTGGAGAAGTACTCCCAGAACCTGGAGGACCTGGTCCAGGAGCGGACTGAGGAGCTGGAGCTGGAAAGACAGAAGACGGAACGGCTGCTGTCGCAGATGCTTCCTCCGTGAGTGGCCCTTGGGGCGTGATGTGACAAGCCTCAGCGCTGAGCCTGGGGCCTGGGACAGAGGAGGTTACTCAGTGAATCTCCTGGGACTCATCGACTCCCCCATAGCTTGGTCATGCAACGTATTTTCCCAGAGCCCTTCCCATGTGCAATGGTCAGCCTTGGCTGCCAACCTAAAGCGGGGCCCTTTGAACGCACCCGGTGGCTCTGCGGTAGAAAGAGCCGGTGATCTGCTCCCGTTAGAAACGACTGCTTCGAACCTCAGGGAGGCTGTCCTGCTCTGCCACCTGGGGTTGTTATCAGTCACAATGGGCTCCAGAGTGCCCGGCCACGGCCGCCATGTCCTGGACACCATGCCGGCCACACGTGTGCTAAGTGTGGGCGGTCTCATCCTCTGGGGAGAAGGGAGAGGCCGCAGGTCCACTGTCTCACTCCAGAGGGAGAGATGTCCAGAGGCGAGGCCCCCGAGAGGTCTCCATGGTGAAGTGCTTAGTGGGGAAGGTTGGCAGTTAAAACCCACCCAGAGGCATTTGGGAGACAAGTCTCGTGACCCCCTCCTCCCGAGGTTGCTCACATCCTTGAAAACCCCACGGAGCAGTGGAGCTGGGCACACCTGGGGTGCGACGAGTCCACCATGTCCAGAGAGGGACAGGCATTTCCCTGAGGGCAGCCAGCACCCATCGCATCCCGCGACGCCCAGCCTAGATCTCCCTGCCCCCTAAGTCCACCCAATATCTATCTCTGGTCTCTCGTCTGTAAAGAGCCCTTCCATCTTGTGACTCTGGCCCCTGCTGTCCCTTCAGATCGGTGGCCGAAGCTCTGAAAATGGGGGCAACTGTGGAGCCCGAGTACTTCGAACAGGTTACCATATACTTCAGTGACATTGTGGGGTTCACCACCATCTCCGCCCTGAGTGAGCCCATTGAGGTGGTGGGCTTGCTCAACGACCTCTACACACTGTTCGATGCCGTCCTGGGCAACCATGATGTGTATAAGGTGAGGGTACCAGGGCGCTGGCAGCCACCAACCTGCCTTCTTGTCCTGGTGTTTATTGACGTGCTTGTATTAGTGAGTCATGGCTGTGTAAAAACAATTCCAAGATGCAGTGACTTAAAACACTCGATCCTGGCTCACGACTCTGTGAGCTGGCTGGAACGTTCTGGACTTGGGTGAATTCACTCATGCGCCTGCGGTCAGCCGTGGGAGAGGTGAGCTATGCCTCTCCTCTGGAGCCTTGGCTGGGACAGTTCAGCCTTTGGACACTCACCCTGCAGCTGGGGTGTTCCCCAGAGTGGGGCAGGTTTCTGAGAGACAGCAGAAGCTCAGGAACCTCCAAGACTTAAGCTAGGAACCGGGGTTCATTGCTATTTCTGATGCATTCAATTGGTCAAAGCAAGTCAAGTCGCCAGGCCAGATTCAAGGGATGGGGAAATAAATCCACCTCCTGACGGGAGGGAGAAAGACAGGCTGTCTACTGCCGTAGAGTTATAGTCACGGAACTCACAGGGGTGGTAGTCCTACCCTGTCCTATAGGGTCACGATGAGTTGGCGTCAATGGCAGAGAGTTTGGGTTTTGTCCTAATGGGAGGAGCCACAGAGCTGCATTACAAATGGTGTGCATGGAAGAAGGTAGCCTGGACTCCCGTTGCAGGCCAGCACCCACGGTGCTCCTTCGTCCTTGTCCATCGATGCCTGTGGACATCTACCCATTCCTTTAAAACCTCTCCCTCATCTGGCCTTTCTGGGCCAGGCCCTGGGCCAGGCAGGGGCCCCTCCAGGAGCTCTGAGCCCCCTAGAGAAAGGATGGGGGCATCCTCCAGGGAGAGTCAAGGTCAGAGGAAAGTGGAATGGGCTGTGGGGGCCCAACGAGGAGTGTACCGGTGAGGAGGATGGTGGGGACGTGGGAGAGAGGAGCAGGGGCGTGGGGGGAGCCTCCAAGACCAGCCACGACCTGGGCGCCGCTCATCCCTCAGTCCTGACCCCTTGCTTTTGCGTGACTTTGAGCAAATGGTTTCCCCGTTATCCCATCTGTCAAGCGAAAGAATGACTCCAGCCCTGACGGGCTCCCAGAACTGTAGGAGGGTCCTGGCTACCCCCTGCCCCCGTGGAGTGTTGTGTCAACCCTGAGGAAGTGAGGGTCAAAAAGTAGAGTCCTGCTCTCTACTTTTCAGCTCTGCTCTGGGGACTGTCCTCCCCTGGCTCTGCCCTGTGATGAGCTTCAGACACAGTGGAGGCGGGGAAGCAGGAGGTCCCAGAAAGTCACACTCAGGTCCCTTGGCCTTCACCTTGGTCCGTAACACCCTACCCCCACCCCCCACATCCCCTTCCAGCCACAGGACTCTGGGGAGGCAGGGGCAGGCTGGGAAGGATGCCTAGGCAAGACAATTCAGAGAGGGCGGCCAGCACCGTGAGATGCCAGGCACTGCTGACTGTATGGTGCACATGACCCTGACAACAGTTTCCAGCCCTTAGGGGAGCTTCCTGTGTGCTAGAAGCCAATGATGGATTAGCCCATTGGATTTTCGTAAGGTGACACACATTTATTTCATAGCTAAGGAAACTGTGGGGAGAGGAGTTCATGGTTGTGGATGTTAGATTTGACTCTGGGCATTCTGGTGTCCAGGTCCCACACCATGGGGGTCCTCAGGATAGAGCCAGAGAGTCATAGTGGCCCACCAGCCCTTCAGGAGCCTGCCTCTCTTGCCACCCTACCTGTACCTCTGGGCACACCCCTCTGCAGACCTCTAGAGTCCCACACCCGCTTTACTCTCGAGTCACCAGGTCTCCTTGACGCATGCTCTTTGCATCTCAGGAGCTCTGCGCTCCCCTGCGCTCCTCTGGCCTCAGTTTCCCTTCTTTGTCCTCTGAGAGCTTCTGCTTGGTGTTCTCATCAGCCCCCCTGGGCAGCACGTCTGCATTCCTTGGTGTCCACCCTAACCCTCTCTGGCCATGCCCAACACCCTGTACACTGAAGGAGGATGACACCGAGGGGCACAGCTCGCCTGAGGTCACACACCAGAGCCAGAACAGGGGACCACAGTGCCCAGGGTGCTGTCTACCCCACCATCCTGCCCGGCATGACCCGTGGAGCCCCGAACCCCTGACATTCCCAGAAGGATCTTCCCGCGCCCCCATTCCAAGACCAGGATCCCATGTTCCCACCCCGGCCTTTGCTTCCGAGGCCATGTCCCTGGGGCTGGTGGAGCTTCCCTCTTGCCTGCAGAGCCTCCCTGGCCCGGCGCCCAGGACAGATTCCTCATGTTGTCTCGCAGCCGAGCCCCGTGCTTTGATGTGTTCCCGAGTCCCCGCTGGGCCTGCGTCCTCCCCTCTGCTCATCTTTTCTCACACACGGGTCCCTCGGCTCTGCGTCACACCTTCTGATGTGCTCTGAACCCCGGCCAAGACGCCGAGTCACATGCAAGTGAGCATGGCCCTCATCCCACGCCAGATGTGGGGGAACCAGAAGCCTGCTCTATGTGACATGTGAGAGAGTCTCTTGCCACCCAGCCTGCCACCTCAGTTTCCCCTCCAGCCCCGACAGGATCTGGTTACTGCTCTTTAATCCTGTCTGGGCTGGGAGGCTGGCAGGCAATCATCTCTCGGTTCCGCAGGGTCTGCGAAGCCCTCCCCGCACCCGATGAAGAAGCACTTGCTCAAGCAGAACTCCAGAGCCGGGTGTGGGCTGTGAAGGAGGAGAGAGGCCCCCTGCCAGCCTGCCCTCCCTCCCTCTGGCGCTGTCCCGGGCAGCTCACTGCGCCTCACCCAGCCCCGGGCCCCTCCTTTGTAAACCTGGTGCTTAGGATCATTCTGAAGATTAAGAGATGTGCGGTTTTTCATCCGTTCCCCAACCTCATGTCGGGCACCTGCCACGTGCAGGGGAGAGGCCTCTAGCTTAGTTATGGACCCTGCTGGCCAGACGATGTCTCACCTCACTCTCCCAAGGCCCCTCAGAGGGCTGGACCAGGAGCTCCATGTGCTGACGAGAACACAGGCGCAGAGAAGGCAAGTGACTGGCCATAGGTCACTTTGCAGCAGGGCAGTGACGGCGTGCGAATTCACACCCGTGTCTGCTAGTAAGCTGACCTTTACTCTCACCACCCCTCTGCACCCTCAGTCTGCACACAGGGGTAGGGTCCGCTGTGGCTGGGGCCTTGGAGAGCACTGGTCACTGTTCTGCCTTTGGGGGACATAGGGGTGATGATTACTGTTAGGAGCCACCCGAGAGAGAAACGGGGCGCCAGGCAGGCAGAGGGCTGCGTGTCGGCTGGAAATAGTGTTTGGGATGAATGGCCACCGTGGGCTTTTCACTGCCCCCTCCCCCACCTCATCTGGAGCTTGGCCCCCAAGCAGATGCACTGTCCTCAAGTCACACATGACCCTGGAGAACTAAGGCCAGCTGATCTCAAGGCTGGGACGGTGATGCGAAGGCACAGCAGGGAGATGGTGTGCTTGGATGGTGAATGCCCACCCCCGCCCCGTAGTAATCTAGCCTTGATGGGCTGGGAGCAGTCCAGGATGGGTGAGAGGGCTTGGGCTTCAGGGAGGGAGAGATGACAACACCTGCTGGGGACAGGTGACCCTAGACTTCCTGAGAGGGTCCTGCCCTGGCCCTGAGGGTGAGCAGAAGGAGGGGACACCTCTGAACAGGACACTGATGGGGCTGGCCCTGGGTCCCTGGCCTGGTAAGCCCAGGGATCGGCTATGCCTGCAGTGGGACAGGAAGGGGCAGGGCAGCACTGGCTCAGGGCTGGATGGACAGGGTGCTGGCTGAGTCTCTCCAGCATGGCAGGCACCAGGGCCCGGGGCAGGAAGGAGGGAGCAGGGATGGTGAGGGGCAGGGACGCTGCTGCAGAGGCAGGCTGGCCGGGGCAGGCCCTTGAGATGCAGATGTGAAGGAAGTCAGTCGGGAAGTGCTGTACACCACGGAGGCCCTTGAATGCCAGGCCAGGGGGTGTGCGTCTGGGGGTGCACTTTAGGTCCTTGGCCATGATAAGGAGCAGGAGTTGATGTGATTGGAAGGAGCGCTTCCTGGAGGTGGGGAGAGGGTAGTCCGGGTGAGGGATGCACTGGGGAGCTTAGGCTGCAGGGCACAGTCCCCGATGCTGTGCGTGGGATTGCAGTGACCCCATGGGCAGGGAAGGCACTCGTGACCGCCCACCAGGTGATAAACAAAAGGGGAGGCTCTGCTCCCCAGCTTTGTGTGCAGAGGATGGGGAGGGCGTAGGGGTCAGTGTGGGAGCTGGGGCTGTTTAACCTGAAGAGCAAAGGGTTGGGGAGGAGCGGGCCACGATTCCTTCACGTTGTCGTGTCCCCAGACCCTGGAAGAGGGCCTGGGACAGAGAAGGCGCTCAGGAAAGGTTGTGGAAGCAGGACTGGAGTCAGCAGGTGAGAGGCAGATTCTAATTTAGAGAGAAGCGGCCCCCTCAGAAAGGAGGGGTGCTCCCATCAAAGGGGTGTGAGCAGGTGAGAACAGTCCCGGGGGCTGGGGAAGACAGGCGGTGGCTTTGAATGCAGGAGATCCTGGGATCCTGTCTTCTCTCCACCATGAATTGTTAAGGAAACAATGATAGGTGAGCGGCCCTGGGGGTGATCAAGAAGCCACCTGGCCCTTGAAGGCTCTATTGCAAATGTCCATCTCATCTAAGAAGAACCTGAGGCTCCCCCAGGTAAAGGGGTCCATCCAAGGTCAATGGCAGAGCCAGGCTTTGAGCCTGCACCTGATTCCCAAACCTCCCTTCTTTGTATCTTGAAACACCAATAGGACTTGGAAAAGGAGAAGCAAAAACCAAACTCCCCGCCAACTCCAGTCAAGCCAGCTCAGCGCGACCCTAGAGGACAGGGTAGCACTGTCCCCGGGGGCTTCCAGGACCGCAAGTCTTCATGGGAGCAGACAGCCCTGTCT